CCTTAATTGTGGAACTTGCAGCAGTGACCGATGATGCCACTGTACGGTATCAGATATTGACTACAGATACTCAAACATCTTTGACCTGTTCATCTGGAACTCTGTATACGAAACCTGTGGAGGTTAACTCTGGAGCGGTAAAAGTTGTGGCGATGAGTTGTTTAGACGGACTGAAGATGAGTGACTACACTGAGATCGTCGTCGTACTCGATAAATGCTGCTCGGGACGCACTGCGTATACTCACGAATCCTGCGCTCATGTACTTCTCATGGAGGATGATTTCACGAAATGTCCAGGCGATGGTGGGGCTGGGAATGTTCAAACCAACACTAATTGGCATTCAGTCACTAGTCAGTGGGGAGGAAATAATGTCAATGGAGGCGTACACTCGGACAATGTACGATGTGTGACGGACTCTAAGCTGGGCAAGCGTGTACTGGAACTGACGGCAAACGGTGATTTATTTTCTGGTGTTGCACCAGTAGGAAAAACACTTACAAGCGGTGGATCTCTAAGTGATCGTACCATTGATGACCGATTCATGGAATGGGCTTTGGACGGAATATCTCCACTACCTTGCAATTCGCTTCAGTACTGTCCAGCTCGTCGTGTTGGAGCTGCTGTAAAGTCAGTTTCGCAGCAGAATTCTGGCGTCATGGTTATACGAATGAAGCCATGTGCAACTTTTGGAACTCTTACGCAGGTCTGGTGGGGAAACTACGAAGACGTCGACACTGAAGAAAAGATTCCTTTCCTACCACTCTGGAAATCTGCATTGTACCAAGTGAAAACCAGTTCTGATATTCCTTTTACGTTGACATCACCACAACCGATTGACGAATCGTACACAGAGATTGTAATGCAGTGGGATGCAAGTACAGCTCGTACAAACCTTTACATGGATGGCCAGCTTGTATTGAAGCAGATCGGAACGAACCAGACTGAGGCAAACAGTTCGCTGTCAATTGGTGTATGGTTTCCGAATGCTGCAGCAGGTGAACCTTTCTTCCCAACGTGCCACACATACGTGGATAAAGTCCAAGTTTTCGATTTACAGATCACAGGAGGACGATGGTGTGATTTTGAAGAGGTTATCGCGGATACTATTTCTTGTAGTGAAGATACAGATTGCCAGGAATGGGTTCAGCTTAAATGCTTTATGGATATCTACGAAGCAGTTTGCGCGAACGATCGGTTATCCGATACTGACGATGGAAATTCATCTTCATCAACTGTAGGATTTTGCCAGTTTCGACTACAGCCGATAACACAGACGAGTGTGTCGAGTACCGCAATGACGTCTCGAGAGCTTGATATGCAATGGAAAGAAGAGGAAGACCCGATGGGACTCACTACGTAGAGACTTTAAATTTCTTTAAAGATTTTGATGACAAGATCAAATAAATCTAGCTTGCAGCCACCAAGAAATGTTAGAGTGAGCTAAGAACAATAGCAGAAACACATGGAATCGATCGAAATTCTATTATTTGTTAGTGCCCTCTTTACGAAACTATAACGTCTTCTTTTTTCTCAAGATATTGAGTGGGTTTCCAACAGATTTTGAGCTGCCTCAGTCAGTGCATTGGCCTCTTGAATCGCTTGTGCTACAGCAGCCAACGTTTGTTCACTCGCACGGGGTCCTGAAGCCTTGGCTCCTGCTAAATGCTGTTGCACCAGCTCCAAGTTGTCCGCGATTCGTTGTCCCTCGTCCAGCACCCTCGACAACTCGAACAAGCTCTCGTCTCTAGACGTGAAATTGCGTGCCATTTGCCTCTGTACTCGCTGGAGAGATACTTGCGCACTGGCCAGTTCATTGAGTAATTCTCTTAGATCTTCTTCCTTCTCTCGCATCACATGCTGCCGCTCTTGTAGCAGTACCATGGTCTTGACCACCTTCTTGTTGGCCGTTAGAGTCTCCAGTATTGTATCGTCTTTTGGAGTTTTCCCCTTGACCACCAGCCTCAACGCGTGAGGTGAACTGAGCCCCAACACTGCACTGACCTTCTTCTTGACATCTAGAATACTCCCAGATCGTAGGAAAATGAGGTCGTAGCGAGCTTTGCCCCTGAAAACCTGCACCAATAGAGCGTCATCTTCCAGCTCATTCACGTCGATTTCTTGGGCTTTAGGTGGAGATTTGGATCCAACATTTGATGCTGGAGGTGACGGTGAATCTGAAGAAGAGTTTCCACTAGTTGGGGCTTGCGTCTTAGCTGCGGGTTGCTCGTAATACGCTCGATTACGCAGTAATAGCAGCTTGCAGCCGTCTGTGAGGGCTGTTCCGCTCTTGACGTCGCGGCCACGCAGCACCAAGCGCTGGAATTTGGGCTCCAGCTGGAATTTCTCGTAGATTTGCGTCTTCAGCAGCTCCAGGCTCTGTGGACTTTGCGCTGGCACGCTCAGGGACGTCGATTGCTTGCCGAAGACGACGGTCACGAGCAGCTGAACCTTCTCCAACATGATCACTACTTCCGAGATATTTGTTGTACTTAAGTAAGTTGTTTGTGTGGTAGACCTAAAATGACGGAAAGCGTAGTGTGTGTTGGATGGTCTCACATTTGCAACAACAAAAACATTATAGTAGTTTTAATTATTAAAATGAATAAAAGTTTAGCTGCTGTATTACTTGAAGTAATTGAATTGGAAATTAATAACGACGTAAAGCATCTCACTGTGACCAAATCCCACCCATTTCTTTGGAAAAGGAAGTTGTGTTAAACTTTATTGGAATGTTGTAGATGGAAATTAAGTGACCTAGTCTTGGAGGTAGTCGATGTTAGCGTACAGTTCCTTCAGTTTTACCATCGTTGTTGATTCCAAGCAAACGAGGACATCGAGTCCGTCTCCTCCTTTGAGAGCTTCCGTGATCAGCACAAACCCGTCCATGCATTGAACACGAGGAATCTTGGCATACCAAGGTTTGACTCCGTCAAACTCAGCATCGTACAGCCCCATTTTCGCCCAGCATGTGAACGCTATGTCAGGACCGAAGAAGAAATTGACGTTGTCGTTGATAGCAGCCGGGTCTTTCTGGTTGGAAATGAACGCTATGGCATCGCGCATGAACGCATTATCTCGTTCCATAATGGAAGATCGGACACCACGGGCGACGTGAGACAGTGTCGAAGCTGATACCACATTGCTTTCGCCCTGAAGCTCTCCGCTCGAGTACGTTGATATCGCGTGGAATTGTAGTAGGTCAAACGAATAACACTCTGCTAGGGAAGCTGGCACTTCCTGGTGAACCCAAGTCTATTGTGAGTCCTAATGTGTAGATTCTGTTCTGTCCTCTTACTCTCAAGAACCGCCTATAGGCTCTCGAGTGGTT